CTAGAACCATCAATAGAACCTCTTGCTTAAACAGCAATGTTATAGCGCAGTACTGTACAATCTCCATCTCAACCAATGCAGCAAACACATGATGGCTGTTCCGCTCCTGGCAGGGAGACGGACTGCTAACACAGGAAGATTTCCTCCAGCTTTCAACCTGTGGATCACAGACTTCATCAACTAATCCTGGGAAAATGTTATTCTACAAATTATACTCAACTTTTTGTACCACCTGGCAGCTAGTTCTGGATCACTTCACTTGTACAGATATATCATCACTGCCCTGTCTGAGTTTATAAAGCTGTAAATCTGTCATTTACTATTGAACCCAAGTTTTGATATGTCTCATAGTAAATGTTTAATGGGCCAATAGGTTACTTATGGGGTGGGTTGTTAAAATATATCCAACTCTATTCTGTATTACCTAAAAGGCTAAAATACTTCAACTCATTTTCTAACCTTTTTATTCACGCTGATGCAAGAGCAGAGCAAGTTCAGTTTAAAATACCAAAACTCCAGCAACAGAAGGAAGCAGACACACTGTCACCATAAAAAGGGCTGTTTATTGGTTTAATGTACAGACATGTGGCGTGCTCTAACGATAGCGGTGCAGCTGCAGGGTGTTGCGCCTCTTCCAGGCTGCACGGCGGGAGCCTCCGATGGTCAGGTGGAACTTGTGGCCCTTGCCCAGGCCGCGGCTCTTCTTTCCTGCAGATGTCAGGCCACGCATCTCTCTGTGCTTGTGCACAGCCTTTGTGATCCATTGGGTGTCTGGGTTGCGTCTGACGGCCTTGTGGAAGGGGTCGATCAGAATCACCTCGAAGAACTTGTAGGTAGAGTCCTCGCCCACCCAGTAGGAGTTCAGCACTCTGAGGGCTCCGCAGTGACGGCCAGCACGCTCCTGGGGAGTTCAGAAACAGGGAGTGAGTGGAATGACTTAGCAAAGCAACTCAATCTAAAAAGGAATGTGGTCTTAAAGATTCAAAAGTGCTCTGGCGGCTCCCAGTGGCAGCAGTAACGTAATCTTTAACACCCAGAAATCCTCTGGAGGAGCCAGTAACAGACATCTTAACCATAACTCCATATATTCAGTCTTCATTAAGTCAGGATATACACCGACTGTGTTCATTTAAAAACTCCCTCAATTGTTCCATCCTCGTACTGCAGGTCTGCAGCCGACAGATCTAAACCTCATCCACAACCGTACAGTCCACTAAAGGCCAGTCTCAAACACTGCCTCGTCCTCTTGTGCGGCCTGAAGGGACAGAAGCACTGTCAGTGTACCTTAAATCCTACGAGAGAACATCCACCAATCAAAGCTTTCATAAACTATGGGGATGAGGGACAGTACACATTCCCCTGTGTGTACCAGTCTCACACTGACAATAGGTTTGGATTCCCAGGAAGATTCTTTGTGCAAGCTTTAGAGAACATTTGATATACATTTTATTTGTAATGTCTTACTTTCAATTTATTTCTTATTCATTCCATTGTTTTATAGTGCAGTGCTTATGCTCCTTATAGTCATTTTATCTGTCTTGCTTGGTTTTATGTTGTAGTGCTATATAAAAAAACATTGTTCTGTGAGCCAGCATGTACACCACAATGCAACACAGACATTAATATAGTTATACCTGTGTTAGCAAGCCAAGCCAACACTTCTAGACTATTTGATTGTTTAGTCATTTTGTTAAGAAAAGCTCATTTCAGCTTCTCCAGTGTGAGTATTGTCTGCTTTCTGTAGTCCTCTGACAGTAACCCCGGATGTCTTTGGGTTGTGGACAAAACAAGACATTTGACAACGTCACCTGGAACTCTGGGGAACAATGACCAACATTTTTCAATATTTTCTGAAGTGACAGATTAACTGTTCGTTGCAGCCGTACTTAATTAGGCACACGGTGCTGGAGACGCTTCAGACATTTACAGTCAGTCGGAGAATGACAGATGTTTATGGGTGTAAATAATGGCTTTCATTAGTGATCACCGGACAATTATTTGTAAGTGTTTATAAATGTGAATTATCTCCCAGAGCTTACAGTGACCCAAAGACCTTCAATTAGGAAAAATTAGGAAACCCCTCAAGAGGGGAACAGATTTTTCACTTGTGGAAAAAACTAGAAAATAAAGACAGGACTGATACATTAATCAAACATTAATACCTACACTGAGTACGTTTAGCCTGATGGTTGTGGCAACCCAATAATCTGAAGAGGCGATTAACAAATAGATACAATCTGTTGTAAATCACATCAATGGAAAATGACCGTTGTCCTCAACCGTTGTGGAAATGGTTAAAGCCAATGAGCTACCATGTGCAATTTTAAAGGAGAGGCTACAGCGTTCCCAAATCATTTTCCAGGACTTTCCCAGTAGTTCTCACAATGGTGTTCAGCGTTTATGTGACCGGAGCTGTGGCCTGGCTCAGGGGCTCAAATACAACTAAACATTTCCAGGAAAACTAGGCTCTAAATTTCCAGGTTTTCCCAAGAAAAGCCTGATGCTAACACTTGCAATCAGAATGAGTAACGTGTGTCGGTGCATCTGAAACATCGTCAAAGCAGCAAAACCAGAACTCCTTTCTTATATTGAGTCAAGATGAACGTACCTCAGCAGTTGACTGCAAACTGCGGGCGAACTTGATCTGGTTGACGCCATGGTGCACTGGCTTGCCGTAGGTGGCACCCTTGGGTACGGGGCGTTTACGGCCTCCGCGGCGCACGCGGACACGATAGATTACGTAACCTGTTTGAATCACACAACAACACGATTAGCCAGGCAGGGAGAGATGCTGACAGATGTGCAGGTGTACCTCTGGGCTCCGCACTCACCCTGCTTGGCCTTGTAGCCCAGCCTACGGGCCTTGTCAGGTCTGGTGGGCCTGGGAGCGCGGTGGAGGTTGGACAGCTGACGGTACTGCCAGCAGCGGACACGGAGCAGGAAGCGCATCACGTCGGACTGCTTCTTGCGCCATAGCTCCTGCATATACCTATATGCTCCCATGTTGACTTATCTGAAACAAACAAAGTCTCGTAAGTTAATCAACTTTAATGTGAATTCATAACTTGTTTATGTAAAAACATGATGGATTAATGTTGGACAACATGCAGCCAGCATCTGCAGTTCAATGTAAAATAATGACTTGAGCGACATTTACAGGAATCATGCTTTCAGTCATGTGCCATCTGCAGGCTCAGAAACACAGCCACACTTCTCATGAACTGCTGCCTGGCTGAGGGAGCGGTGAGCTTCAGAAGGAGCCTGTAACTCCGCTCATAATGGCACACAACTCGGACCAGACTCTGTACAGTTACTGAGGCCATTCTGGAAGAGTCTTCTTAGGAGACCACGATTTCCCATTTTCTCAGCATTCTGTGAACTAATCATAATACACATGTAACGCGTGGTACGGCGGCCCGGGTGTTTTACATGAATGAATGCCGTAGAAATGTACGATAATGTACAAGTACACAAGCCCATGCTTCCTGAGCAGCTCCTAAAACTAAAGCTAGCATGTTAGCATTAGCAGCGTAGCTCACCAGTCCCTGCTCCACCGGAATGTTTCTAACATTACAAGTGACTAACTTCATGTGCCGGTTTCAACCGGATTAAAACGCGAAGACTCTGGCCGTTTTACACAAAACACCAGACAGCATGGTAACACATTAGCTTGCTACAGCGGCCAGCAGTACCAATGGCTACCGGGTAGACTGCATCCCAGCGCCGTTAAAATAAGCCTAATATCAGTTTCTCAACAATGTTAGTCAAAAAATAATCAAGGCGTATAGAACGTTAGTAAGTTGCTAAACAATGTCCTGACTCAAACAGACCGATGAAACTATATAAAGAATGATTTTAATGGATTGCGTTTTCTACAAAAGCATAGAAATACTCGCTTACATGATGGCGTACCAGCCGGAAAGAGAGAGGACACGTACCCAGCATGCCTTATGAAAACGCCGGTGACGTATTTCCTCTGTAATGCTCATGGGAAATGTAGTCCTGACTTTTGTGGTCATTTCGACAATCAAACTCGCGCTCTCTTTCTTGATTTAAATTCATTTTTAAATTAAAAAGTTATGTGATAATCACATAGTAGACACGGTTTTACTGGAGACAAACTGCATTTAATCGTAATTTGACTACAGACAAACTGCATGAATGTAATCAGAATCAGAATCAGAAATACTTTAATAATCCCAGGGGGAAATTATTTTTATTACAAACTCCAGATACAGAATAACCAAAACAAATATTAGAACATGTATATAAATATATATCAACTATATTGGGCCAGGCAGATAAAAAATGGTAGCAAGTTATATTAATCGTCCAAAAGTAGCTAAAAGCAAAAAAAAAAAAAGATTGTACGTGCTTCTACGACATATTACTGGGAAGCGGTGCTCTGACTCCCTCTCGAGGAGAGACGATTGTACATATTGATGACACACAGGCAGGAATGATTTCCTGTGGCCGCTCTGTGGGTGCATCTGGGTGAGAGATTCTTCTGCTGAAGGTGCTCCTCCTGCTGGGCCCAGGTGCTCTACGAGAGGGTCGTGACGACATTCCGTCCGAGATGGACATGCAAGCCTGGACACGGCCATGCTCTCTGCCACGGTTGTCAGAGTTATATAATGTTAATATGTTATGTAGTTAATCTATGAAGCGTAATCGTGTAGTTGTACAACTACTAACTCCAAAATCCACACCAATAATGAGCATAAACATCATTTACAACATGCACCGTGAATGTAAATGTTATTATATTGTATTATTATAAACGCAAACAAAACATCGTCTCCAGTTATTCTTATGTTTATGTTGTGAATTCAGCGGCGCATGCGCAGTGTCCGGATAGGTCCTGCGCTCAGAGCAGGATGGCCGCTCCGTGTGAAGGCTCGGCAGACAGACAGTCCTCCAGCTGATCCAGGTGAGCGACTCTAAGGGACTCACCTGTAATGAACAGACAGTGGGTCGCGGCTGCAGTGTCACTGGCGCGTTTACATGACGCACACTGAGTCGCTACGGCTAGCCTGTTAGCTAGCTAGGCTAAACAACACAACGCCGTGACAGCGAGCCAACGCTAAGGATAGGCTCTGTTCCGTGTTATTATGGGATGTCTAATATTTGCCAGTTGAAACTATGAACTGGGTGACGTTTTGTGTTCACACACTGTAGGGTCGCAATGGGAAAAGGCTGTAAGGTGGTGGTGTGTGGCCAGGCAGCAGTCGGAAAAACGGCCATACTGGAACAGCTGCTGTACGGAAACCACACTGTAGGTAGGTAACAGCCACTGACAATGGCTCCCTTCAGCCGACTGCTGGGAGAGCAGCCTCCTGCTGGGGCCCAACGTCTCTTCTCTGGATAGACCTTTTTTACAGCAGCCATTTTAACATTAAGTAGGGTAAACACAAGTGTTACCAATGACATTAACTAAGGCTCTGTTCCATTTAGTGTATTAGTGAGCCAGAATGCACAATAGCAGACCCTGACTCTGTGGCCTGAATGGAACAGAGCCTATAATGTTAAGTGTTTGCCCTACTATTTCATGTCAGAATGGCTGCTGTGAAAAAGGTCTTGCTGTTGTCCTATTTCCCAGGCTCCGAGTCCAACGAGACCCAGGAGGATGTGTACGTGGCCTCAGTGGAAACTGACCGCGGCGTGAAGGAACAGCTGCGGCTCTATGACACCAAAGGCCTCCACGATGGACAGGACCTCCCCAAACACTACTACTCAGTGGCAGACGGCTTCGTGCTCGTCTACAGCGTGGACAGCTTGGAGTCCTTCAAGAAGGTGGACATTCTGAAGAAGGAAATAGACAAGTCCAGAGATAAGAAAGAGGTGTGGCCGGGTCAAAGTATATTTAAACCACCATTCATAATAAGTGCTGTTCTCTGTTCGCCTTTATATTGGCAACCATCCACTCTGCGCACAACAGCATTTATGATGTTTAAAATATCCAGTTTAACTGACAGTTTCTGTATTTTCAGGTGCTTTCCGTGTTCTATTTATAGCGCACATTGTTATACCACCTGAGTACATCACGAAGTGTGGTGGTGAAAGGTCTGAACAAACAGAATTTGGCTGTAAAGGGGAATTGAAACACTAAACATATGAGAAGGCTAAAGTTCCCAGTTTGAGAAAATATCATTTGCCTTTATTTAAATAGGTCTTTGCATGTAGGCCAACACAATAGAGGATGTGCATGCAGCAGAGAAACACTTCTCAGCACCATGGTTTAATGTCCATATATACGTATATATGTATATATAGACATTTCATGGTTAGTATTTAGAATTAAAGTTGATGGGAGCCAGTGAAGTTACTCCTTAGAGGTACATTTGGAAGAAGCTCCTCACATATGTAACATTAGCATGCATGAAAACCCTGCTTTTGCCATCAAAATATTTACATTGTGCACAACTCGTACTATTATTTGCCTGCAGTTTATACAGGAAACGGCTAATACAGGATTTAATAAGTATTATTTATCAGCCACACAGGATCATGAAAAGATGTGTCTCTGCTCTAATTATATGACCAATCAGGCCAACATGTTCAAATGCAATTTAGGCTTTTTTTTAACTGTCTAAAAAGTATTTAAACAAAATCTTAATGTGGAAGTATGAATTTCAACAAATATGGAGATAGTGTTTTCAGCCAGCAGCAGTGATATACCGACTGAAAAGTAAGGCAACATGAAATCAAAATGATTAATGTACTGTTTTCTCCATACAATGAAGTGCATAAAGTACTATCTTAAATCTTTAAAAACTGAACTGGGGTTTCTTCCGGTGTGTCTGTTGTGTTCTCAGGTGACCGTCATAGTGCTGGGGAACAAGACGGACCTGCGGGAGCGTCGTCAGGTGGACCAGGAGGCGGCGCAGCAGTGGGCGCGAGGCGAGAAGGTGAAGCTGTGGGAGGTGAGCGTCGCCGAACGCAACTCGCTCATCGAACCCTTCACCCAGCTGACCAGCCGCCTCACGCAGCCGCAGAGCAAGTCTGCCTTTCCTCTGCCGGGGCGCAAAAGCAAAGGCACCCCGTCCAACGACATGTGACTCTCTGAAGACCCCCTCACTCCTCTCCGCTCCTGTTAGCAGGCTGCATTCACCTCACATGGGAACACCCGGCGGGACCACGTGGACAGGCCTTTAGCTACATGACTTTGGTTAGCTTGTGTGTAAATTAGAGCTTTTTACACACATTCATACAGTTCTACACAGTGGTTACATTGCTTAAGGTAGTTCAACTTCATTATTTTGGGAAATATTTTGCTCTCTTTCTGCGAGTGAGATGAGAAGACTGATATTAATCTGGTATGCTAAGAATAGAGCTGGGTCAGAATGTGGTTAGCATAGCATAAAGACTAGAAGCAGAAACATTTGCAGTGTTCGAGGGAGTAATATGGTGGAACTATTTCTTGGCGAACAACACCCTGGGGCAGTTTGCAGCTTCCCAGAGCCTTGTTGATTTGGTTCACAGCCACCACAACAGTGCTACAGCTCCACTGGAGTGCTGGCTGATGGGTAAACTGTTCGCCACTTTCACATTTCTGTTTTTGTTTGGGTTAAACAAACGAGATACGTGTTAGTCAGCCAGCTTTAAAGGTGTTGTCAGTCAAGTATTTTTGAAGTTTTGACCGAGCCGGGCTGGTGGTCTCTGTCTCCAGTCTTTATGCTAAGCTAGGCTAACCACATCCTGACTGCAGCTCTGTGCTCAACACACGGACATGTTTGATATTCTCATCTCACCAACAGCAAACCAAATCCACATCTGTAACATCTCAAGCCTTTTTTCTTCGTAAAACCATCTCAGCATGGGCAAGCACTTTAGTACCAAAGAGTTCAGACAACCCAAACACACATCTCGTGGATTTACACTTTTGAATTGCGGTCCTGAAATAACGTGTTATGTTTACTGTCCTTTTCAACTGAAATATATCATTCCAAGTTAAACCATACAATCAATTTTTGTAACTATCTTACTATTCACATTCCCATATAGAGTTATTGGTTGCTGTTATCATTCCTCCTCTGTCCCAAGAGGGCCCAGCCTACAGCTAAAGTCAGACTATTGAAGGACTGTGGATTTTGACCCCCATTTCTTCCATCGGATTTCCACAAGGGATCTCTACATGACCAGTATGTAACTCTTTCAGCAAACATACCGGCTTGTGGAACAGCTCTGTAAGCTCTGTAGGACAGTGTTTTCAAACAGGAATCTACTACCTATGTTATTTCCCATCTGATGTGAATGCAGCATGAATCCCTGTTCTCTGGCGGGACTCAGCTAGCCTTCGTCCAGTCCATCTCGTATATTAAATATGGCCTGGCAGCAATAATAATAATAATGTTCATGGTACTGCCTTTACCCGTTTTGAGATTCCATAATGTCTGTCTGTTAGTTGCACTCGTGTCGTCCAGCCTGTATAATCAAATAGGGCTACTAGTTAAAACTGTGTGTAAGGCTTTCTAACAGTAGAAATGTCAGTGTTGAGAGGAAATATTTATTTTTTAACTAATTTATTTTTGTCACTTTAATGAGCCACATTCCTTGACTTTTGAAAATGGTAAAACAATGTGAAGGATGATTGCGCTGTTTTCTGTGTCCTTAATGTTTCAAAGTAATAACAGTTAATGTGCTGCTAGTAGAACGGAGTTAGTGAGACTCAACACTTGCACTCTGTATTCATGCTAACCCTAAATTATTCTCTGCTCTGTAACTCTGCACTGAATAAAATGTAGCCTCTTCATATTTAGTCCTCTGAAAGGTTCTTTTGGTGGCGTTTCCTGAAGATCACATTTGATACAAATGACTAAACCCAGTCAGATGCTTCAGTTGGTCATGTTTAATTCTTTAAGGGAGAAACAGAACAGCTTTTTATCATTACAGAACACAAATCACAACCAATATCCATCCATATCTAAACATGTCTACATGTGTAAAACACCTTTTCAAAGACCAGGAGTTTGGAGGGAGGGAGCAAAACACCAACTGGAACTTAATACATGTGAGAATTTACACTGACATAATTGACTGGGAATCATGCTGTGACACATTTCATCTAGCAGTTTAGTATTAATGTCCATCTTCAAGCACGAGCTAAAAAATCAAAGAGAAAACACTAAATGCGTTATTGCCAGATCTGATTATAGTTGGGCCGCAGATAACTTAAAAAATACAATAAACAACAAAATGTCAGGAGTTAAGACTTCAATTCCCGAGATAAAAATCCACCCGCCCCTCTACCTGCCCCACCTCCCTCCTCCGCTGGGAGCCACGCCCCCAACAGAGTCCACACCCCCTCCCCACCCAACATCCCAGAGTCGTCCAATCGGCAGCAGCTCCTCTGGTGATTATGTGGCGTAGCGTTTGGTCCACTGTTTGGCTATCCTGTCGTGTTCGGGTCTGTTTGTTGTGTACTGTGTGGCGATGCTTCCAACCAGAGGGTCGGCTGTAACACAGGAACAAAACATCTGCATTTCAGTTTGTTCTTTGCACTTTCACACCTGTTCCTCAATAACTGTAGTTTTATCTAAATGTGTTTTAATTTGAATTCAGGTTCCTTAAAGCTCCTACAAGGAACTTTCACTTTCCAAAACTGACCGTTGTCTTGGTTTGTAGACACAGGAAATGTTTTTTTCCTTAGTATCTTAGAATTTGCAGCTGCAGGATGTGCGTGCAGAGACAGGACTATTTAATTACATTTTATATGTATAGCGCCAACTCATAACAGAAGTTATCTCATGACACTTTTTAAAACAGAGCAGGTCTAGACCGAACTCCTTCTAAAATTAAACCAGAACATCTGGATCACCCATGGTGGCTGGCTGTTTATTTGATATGCAGCAGATTTCTATGAGCCAAGCACGCGTTTTAAACATCAATATCATACACCATCACGTTCATTTAATTGTGGGAAACCAAAATCCTGACACCGATTAATATTGGATTGATTGTGCAGCCCTTGTACCAAAGCTGGACTACCAATAAGACCAAGCAGGCCACTACCCCGGGACCCAACATCAACTAATGCTGTCCTGCATTTCGAAATCTTGTGTTAGTGTAAACTGTAGGTCCATATTCCTAAATAAATTACCCCAACTAGTTTACACACACAAACCCTGCAGACAGGGAGGATTCCACCATATGAGCACTGTCTTATATAGTTTGTGTAAAATGCACTTGAGGCTTTATTTTATCTATAGAGAAGGTGGGAATGTGTTTTTGGGTAACCCAGTAATTCAAATACAATTGCCAGGTAATTTATCAAGTTGTTGCAAAAGTATTTCTTCTAATGTATTGATCTACTTGTATTAAACATCCACAATAGCCAGCCAAGACACTGAAGGGAAGGTACCCACTGTATTAACAGCAATTGAAATGATGATTTATGTAATCATGGCCCAGCCCAACGCTACAGGGAATATTATTGTTTCATCTATCCTGTACCTACAATAATAACTGTATAATTACACTGCACTTGTGTTGATGTTACAAAGCCATACTGTGTGAAATTAAAGAACCCTTTAGCCAAAAAAACAGGATGACTTTAAAAGAGCCACAATGCTGCAGTAAATCTTAGAAAAATAGATTTTCACTTAAGGCTTGAGGCAGAACACAAACACAGCACCACCTTTTGTCTTCAATGTGGACTTTGGCTCTGTTATATAGCCGTATAGTCTTACATTTCTGACTGTGTCAGAGTCAAGAGGAGATTTAATGAACTGAATCTTAAAATCCTTTAAGTGGAGTCCTGGAATTCATGTAGGGTTACCTCTACGAGAGTTTTATGGTCTCTGCTCTAACATCAAGATCAAAGGGGAGTTACTGCTGCAGTTAATGAGACGAGCTCAAACAGACCCTGCTACTGACATTTATTCAGACCCATATTAAGCAGTCAATGTGTTATTACTCTTAGAAATATTACCCTCTGGGCTTTTTAACCTAAAAAAAAAAGAACATGCTTAATATTGGCACAAAATATTGTTAGCAGATTTTGTGAGCCTAACAAAGCAAGGGGTGTGTGTGTGTGTGGTGGTGGTGTGGTGTGTGTGTGGTGTGGTGGTGTGTGTGTGTGTGTGTGTGTGTGGTGTGTTGGTGTGTGTGTGTGTGTTGCTGCAGCTCTCACAGGGTTGCCAGTCAGTGAGCAGGGAGCAGATGTGACAGTTAGGACCTTGGAGATGGTTGGGGCAGGACTCCAGTTGTCCTCAGGATGTCCAGACAGATCCACCCCCTGACTGTTGATGTTACAGTGGGTAGAATCCTCGTACGGGAACGGTACCTGCACACGGACAGAAGGAGGGAAAACTCGTATTCCCACAGCTTTACACATTTTTCTTGGTCCTTGTATGCCAAACTCCAGACAAAAATACCAATTACATCATTTTTATCTTGGAATAATCAAAAGCAACTTCAATCATCAACCCTATAAGCAAGAAATGGTTTGCTTAATAAAACATTCCATCATAAACACACTGTAGAATGTGAAATGAAGGAGTAGTGGCTAATGATGTACAGGAAAAGCTAGTCATATATTATGAGTGTGTCTGTTTGGAAAAACATGCAAGGTCAGAGAAAATTCTACATTTTCTGAATGCAGTTGGTTGTGACAGCTGCTCATTCAAAAGGAGAGGATACAAGCATCAGCACTGAGCGGAGCATATATTAGAGCGGCCTTGGGGATTAAGATTACAAGTATGAGCTGCTGAGTTTCATCTAGCTGTATCTAATGTACAAGGGCGCCTTCTAGTGGAAAACATGAAAATGACATGTCTTTCAATAGAGCCATCTGTGTGCGATGATTACACAGAAAAGGTTTGTCTGGACGCTAGCAGCCATGCAGAATTCACCTTTGGGTGGTTTGAAGGCGGTAGGTCTTGGTGTGAAGGCGATGTCCAGGAAAAACACTCCTCCCTTCGTGACACGGAGCCTGGAGGGCCCAGGATGGTCAGACCTCCACTCATGAGATGTTGTCTCCTTAGGGACCGGCACTGTCGGCACACAGGAAACATGGATTTCTTGATTACATACTGGGATGCTTCACAAACCAGACTTTCACAGTAGAAAACATCTGTAGTCACCCGTCCAAAGAAACTCTGGAGCTCGTGTCAGAGCTTTCAGCTCAAGTCTTTGTTTTACTCTGTAATATTTTACAGGGAATATAAAGCATTTCCACTTTTTAAACAGTTAGATGGGCCAATCTCTGGCTGTGTTTAGCAGGATGCATGAACGTTACCACAGGGACACGTATCTTTTTCAGTTGTTAAGAACATTCATCATTTTTATCAAATTCCTCGCCACAGAGGCAGCTGCCCCAACCTTGTTTAAAAAATGAAGTTATTCAATAATACAACAGGACAATATTGAAAACCATACAACAACAAAAATACAATAAACAATAACAATAACAACAACAACAACAATAATGTGTTCCTTCTTGTCCACTAGAAGGATGTTTTACAATCATCTGCTGGAAAGAGAAAGTTCTCTGTGCTCAGTGAACATCTGATTTTAAGGGGCGGAGCCTACCAGCATGATTTTGTGACATCCACAAATAGTTATGAAGTCAGTCCTGGTCCGAAAAGTATCAACTTGTACATGTGATGAGAAACTTGAAGCCACAGTGCACATCCACTGAGAATGGACTTTACAGTGGAAGGAGGAGACATCTTGTGTCCAGCAGGAAAACTGAACTTTAGAAATCAACAACATTTAAATATTCAGAGATTCTGGGAGTTTAATGAGGTAGAACGAGGAGATGACTCATTGTGGTCGCAGGGTAGAAAATAGAGGATATGCTGGACGTGAACAAACTACTGAGGTACTTGTTTTGTTGTTTGTCTTCAAGTCTCAGGTAAATGGAGTCTCACAGTGGACGAGTCCAAGTCGACTCCAGTCAAAGTCTCGGGTCTAAAGTTCTGCTGTGCGTTCCAGCCTAATCTATCTTCCACCTGGATAAATGCACCTTCCTCTGAGGCAGAAACCAGACCAGCCTTCACCCTAACGGAGCTTTAAATCGTCCACAGTCTGCATGCTTGCTGCTCCCTCGTGGTCCACCTCCCAAAAGATTAAGACACCCACATTTCACTTTCTTCTTCTGCCCCTACACAAGACTGAGATCTTCCAGTACAGCCCCCACTGAAGGTCTGAAATCCTAGCACTGATCTACAGGTTCACCTCAAGATCATCTGTACCATGACACCATACAAGGAAACAACCTACAGGCCATGAAAAACAGCACATGCTGCTGAAAACATTTTAAAACAACTGTAAGGATAGGTTTCTCATATGATCTGCAGACTAAATGTCAATGTCCAAAAGCAGATGTGTCAATAGGGACTAATCTTTTTCTACAGGAAATAAGGGCTTTGTTTAACTGGACTGGCTTTTCAAAATAAAGAGGGGAGCAGGGTTGTGGAAGCTGGACTACATGCATAATTTGCACTTAGGCTGTTTGAGCAGTTGATGTTTGTTTCATGTTTTTCTTTGATAAAACATCAAAATTGCTTTTAATGCTGCAGTAGGTCAATTAAAAAAAAATTGAAACAAAGATAGTTGTTTGTTGAGTCTCATTATTACGGCGTCAAATACACACGCTTTAGGACAAGTTGCTAACTTAGCTTCCCTGCACACAAAACATGAAAGCTTTCCCCTCTAGTGAGTGAACAGTGAGCGAATGCTTCATTCATCCATTCAGTCCAACCCTCCGGCAGGTCACCATCACAGGCACCTTCAGCTAGTTCAGTCTTC